CACAATGTACCCAACTTCTGATGGCTACTTTCAGCAGGATAATGCACCATGTCATAAAGCTGGAATCATCTCAGACTGGTTTCTTGAACATGACAATGAGTTCACTGTACTCAAATGGCCTCCACAGTCACCAGATCTCAATCCAATAGAGCATCTTTGGGATGTGGTGGAAAGGGAGATTCGCATCATGGATGTGCAGCCGACAAATCTGCGGCAACTGTGTGATGCCATCATGTCAATATGGACCAAACTCCCTGAGGAATGCTTCCAGCACCTTGTTGAATCTATGCCACCAAGAATTGAGGCAGTTCTGAAGGCAAAAGGGGGTCCAACCTGTTACTAGCATGGGGTACCTAATAAAGTGACCGGTGAGTGTATATCTCATAATTACGACATTAAGTGCCATTTTTTTGTACCAATAACAACATTAATATTTTTATATTGGTACCAACATGTATTTTGATAATTTGTTCAAATAAAAAGAGAACACCTAAAATATAAATACTAGAGGCTCACCGATGCCATTTTATGGCCCAGATACAGATACCCGATACCTGGCTGTGCAGTATTGGCCGATACCATCTGTTAGAAATTAATGTGTGTATGTATATATGAAAACTGCAAACTACTTGGATGTAAAATAATTGCCATCATGGCTTTGTCAAGCTGCTGCCTACCTTTGTGAAGCAAGAAAAAGACTAATACAAAGTAAATCCAGTAGAACTTTTTATTGCCTACCTGGAATGGGTGACAATAGCTGAATAAACTTTTGGCTCTCAAAATGGTATCGGTGCCATATTTGTCTGTACTCACCAATACCAATACCACCATTTTAGTGATGGATCGGGGCCCTGGCTGATACTGGTATCGGTGCAACACTTATAAATACTGACTTTATTTGAATAAAAAATAAATAATCCTGCAAGAATGGTGGCAGATTTGCCCACGCGGCGGCAAGCTGCTGCCAAGTCAGAGCACTGACTGGCGCGCAGCAGCACTTACTGCTGACTGAAAACAGTAAACTGAACAGTCAATGCTTTTTAATTTCACCAGTTGCTTATTTTAAAGAAAAAAAAAGCCTGAGCACTGCGCAGACAATATTGGGCCCAGCCAAATGCATTGAATATCGTTTTAAAGGCTGCAATACCTTGGTACCAAAATGGTACCGGTATATCAGACAATCCTACACTTGAGTGGGAAAAATGGACCTCTATAATTTTAATTTATTAGCTTTTTATCTGAATACAAAAAAAAAGAGAATAAAAATGACAAGTCATTTAGAGCAAAAGATAATAAATCCTGAACTGAAAAAGAATTGAAAAGTACTTCCTAAATTTCAATCTGAAAACATAACATTGCAAAACTGTCTAATATTATCAGTATCTATTATCTTTCAGTAAGATGGTCAGATTTATTTTTAGCAAGCAGCTCTACTTACCTTCATCAGAGCAGTTTCCCCTCCCAGCGTTTGAGCATTAACATAGGACCCCGCCTCCAGGAGCATAGCAACAGTCGTCAAGTAGTTCTGATAACAATAAGAACCAGAACCGGCTTTATTGGCTGAAATCATGCGCACAAAAAAACATATTTGACCTTTGCTTCACGTGCTTTTAGGTAGTTGTTAAGAATAAACCCATAAACCTTACAGGAATAAAGTAAAAAAAAAAAATGTATAGATGTGAATGTAATTCCAATATTTTTATAGTTGGTGGCATTTTTATATTGATAATGCTAAGTACGTCACAGAAATCAAGCCAGCGTGTGCTTTGGACTGAGTTACCTTTTCGGCAGCATGCATTAAAGCTGTGGTGCCGTTCTTCTGTCTGGCGTTCACCCTCACTCCCTTTTTTATTAGCAACCTAAGGATGTCATCCTGCCCCCCAGCTGCAGCCAGCATACACAGGGACATGCCGCTCACATCCTACAAACAAACAGAAGATCTAAGCTTCAAAACTAACAAAATAACAAACTTAAGCTTGAGTTTCAATAAATTTTATACATAAGGGGGTAAAAACAAAACAGATAAAAGTATTAAAAGGTGAAAAACACCAGCATTCCTAAATATGACCAATTAAACATTTACACATTTTTCAAAAAGGCCAAGGACTTCTATTCAAATCTAAATAAATCTGAATGTTTAAACACTATTTTCTAAAGGATTGATCTCATTTAGACAACACTAGAATATTTTTTTCAATAAGTAACCATGTAGGCTCATTAGAAATGATAAAAAGTACTAATGTATGTAAGTGTTTAGCATTTGTCATTTGATCAATGATTGCTTCTTGGCCTATATTGCATATGAAATCCATAAAGTCACTTTGAACAAAAGAGTGTGGGGGGTGGGGGTGGGACTCTGATAACAAAATGTTTCAAAACAATGAAAAATATCAAGCCCAGTATTTTATTGTGTAAGAAGCTACAGGTTCCTTACAGTGAAACATTAACAGAAGCAACATACAGTAATCAGTATAAACAACTAACAAGTGTTTTTACAGTCACTTCATATAAACAAAGGCTCCTCAAAGCTATGCATTAAAAAAAAAAACTAAAAGAAAAAACATTCTACCCACACAGTAAAGCTGTTGTGTTTTCTAAATGCTACTAACCTTTGCTACTTTATGCGACCTCAAACCACCCTTCAGTCAAACCTATTGAAGTTACCAATAACTTTGGTATGAGAACGTGAATTCAACTTCACTAGCGTCTACTTAAGCTAAAAACAAGTCTCTGTAACAGACATGAAATGCTTAGAACTTAAAAGGAGTTTTTTTCCTCACTTCATCTTAGTGAGAACATTAGGAAGCCTTTTTTTTTTTTCAAAATTAACTTTTTCTTTTCAAGGATATAAAAAAAGAGAAGAAAAAACTCAGCAACACAAACTAAATTCCATTAGCCTTGGTAAATGTCAGAGGAAAACAAATGTTTGGACTGAAATGCAAAAAAACTATTCAACACGTTGTACAATTCTTCCTCCCGCTGTTTAAAAAATAATAATGACAATAAACAAAAACAATACTGATCAATATTCAAAATAGTTTCTTACTTCCACAGCTTAGGAAATAAACCATTTCACCCACTTTTTGCCAGGCACATTGATCACATTAATATAGGCAGAAACACTGTTTTTTTAAAAAATTTTCTGTGAAAACAAAAACTATGGAGTGGAGTAAACAAGAATCAGAAAATAAAAATGCAACCCAGAAAAGAAACTTTCAGAATCATAGAAAAGTTTTGAGAGGTTGTCATTTTTTAGGATTCCAATTTCTTGAATAATAATAATAAAAAAAGATTTTCTTTATATTGAGTTTTACAAATTGCATTATATTCAAACTACTTTAGAGATCACATTCTCTTTTTCTGCACTTCAACCCCAATTAAAATGTTATTGAACATCCTTGCAGACCGACATAAATAAGTTTCTCATTCTAGACAAAAGCCCAAGAAATGAAGAGAATGCCATCTGTAAAACCAAACATGAAAAGGAAAATATGAATATCTCAAGCCTGTATAAAAAAATAAAATAAGCCAATTTAAAATACCTTAAGTAATAAAATAAAAAACAATTTGAAAACAAAAGATGAGAAAATAGTAAAATTACAAATGTAGTTTCATTTCTGGATTGCATTTTTCTTATTTATTTCTATTTATAAAACATTTTCATTGTTCGCAACAACGACGAAAAGTAATTTGTTTTTTATTCAGAGAAAAAACTTTAAAGCCAAGATCTGCAAGTTTGGTTCTTGATGGGACCAAAGGTCGCAATGATGGGTAAAACATAACATCACGGTAAGGCAACTGGATCCTAGCGAGTAAATAAATGAAGAAACATCCAAACGCAAAAAGGAAATGCATCTAAACTCAAGGTAGTGTCCATCAAGTACAATTAAACCATTAAATGTTGTAAACAGTCACCTTTTTTAGTTGTTATAAAACATTTTGTACAACTAAGGGGTGCAAAGAAAAACTACAGCAACCGATTAAGAAGGATATGATTAAAAAACAGCAAAATCCTGTTCAATGTTTAGTGTAAGTATACAAAACAAGTTCTATGCTTTAGTTAGAAAGAAAGGTAAAAATTCTACCTACAGTATAGGCTACTGGTTGAAGACAGGATATAGTAATAATACAGCAAGTTACACTTCTCACATTGACTGGGTTGGATGCAAGGATCACTAGGTTTTCGGATTCATAAAATGCTACAGAAAGAAAGGGAAAACCAAAAGGTAAGTTGCCAATGACACTTGGCTGCTTATTATTTCACCTCTGCTCACACAAGTTTAGAGTTGGATGTTTTGGGTATTCAGTCATAGATTTTAGCTAATAAAATTAAAAACAAATATGTTTTCTATTAGTAGCTATCAGAAACATGTGAATCTTTGGCTTATAAAGTTCACAATCCAGCCTAATGTTCAACACGTTTTGTGCACAGTCTCAGAAACAAACTCGGATTTTAGTTCACTAAGTCTGCTTTAAGTGATCCAAACTAAAGCACAATCCAGGGTTCTCACCAGCAGTATAGCAGTGATGAAATTAGGAGCCATTTTTATTCCCTTTAATAAACATTGCTCCCTGCTGTCAGAGGTGTATCATGTTCATTTGCCTTAGTGAGCAGAACTGATGACAATCTCAACAGCGCAGGGTTCATGTTATCAGAGCTTCTTTCTTTGCTGTGTGCAATTCAGGGAATGTGTTTAAAAACACAGGTTCTCTGGCTGTTGCGGTCATTAAAATCAATGGTATCTGCATAATACTTTATAGTTATTGTTAAAGTTGCGGTGAGAAAGTTTCAGCTGAAATGTGCTGTAGAGGAAGCCCTGATGTCAGTTTAACAGTAGATAGTGGGTTGATGTTTGGATCCCAATTAGTTTCCTGCCCATATGGTGAATATGAAGGAAATACAACCAACTTAAAGCAAACTTTCAATTTATGCTCTACATTTGTGTGCATCTTTTAATTTCTTTTTTGTCTTACTTAACTTCACTCTCTTTCTTCTGCTGCTTACTCTCTCACCCTCCGACTGCTCCACTAAGAGCAGCATAGTGAAAAAACATTTGAGGGTTTAAGGAGCTCCAGATATTTGGTGACAAAAAGCTGCACAATAATCAGTTACAAAATGGCCAAACTATTTTAGTATGAAAACATACAGAACATACGTGATCTCTACCTGTCAGTCACACCTAAGTATGTGTGCGGCCTCCACCAGCCTGATCAATGGACATCTAGTTAGGCTTAAATTTAAAACGGGAGGCTCTGATAATGATTGTATAGTTTACATTACTGTATGTATTTTAAATATGTATTCATTTATCGCCACGGACTGAATTGTATAACTGTTGGCTGTTATATTGATAAATCTGTATCAAGGAAGCCCAGATGTCAGTCAAACCAATTTATCTGATTTTCAGCATAACGGCGACTTTTCTTTATTTTTTCAGAATAACGGCCGGCTACAATGAAATACATAGGCAAGAATCCTTCTATCCTTTTCCCGCTTTTCATGAGAAAAAGAATCTTGCTTCAGTGAATAGGTTTTTTAAAAACTTTTAAGGAAAAAAAAGTGGCTAGTGGTATGGCAGGACTGTCTGCAAATGCAAGAATAAAGATGCCAGATGAAACCAAGGTAGACAGGCAACAACAGACGACACAAATATTTTCCATCCAATCGAATCGTGCTTAAAGCCAAAGACCTCTAGAGTCCTTGCATTTTGTGCAAGTCTATTCAACCTTATTTAGAGGGAAAGATAAACAGGACCATCCCAATCGCTGCTTGAAGTCTGAGTCTCTGGTTCCGGAGGTCTATCATGTTTTGAGGCCACTGCGTGACCTCTTCTCTTCAGGGACTGAATGGAGTTATGCACAAAGTATTTCACTTCCCTCCAGGTTCTGGTGCTCAGAGCTGGTTCGGCAGCTAAACATCTATCGCATTCTTTTTTCCCCGGCACCTTCACCAGCTGAGAAAAGTCTCCAAACTGCCGCCTCACTGCTGCCTGTTCCTCCTCGCTCCATAAACGCTTGTTTCTTTTTTGTGGCTTCCCACCCAGAGGGGCTTTTTTTTTTGCAGAAGACAGGGGTTGGCTTTCCTGCACCACCGATGCACTTTCAGAAACGCCATACTCGTGAATCGAAGGAACAACCTGTGCAGTCGCATGGATCCTGGGGGGGCTGCTGTGGTACGGTGGCGTACTTGAATGGTCAAGAGGTGTAAACGAAGACATGACAGGCCTACTCCTGTCATTTAGTGTGGAGAATGCAGAAATCATTGGAGAACTTAGAGTATTTAACTGCGTATATGTAGGTACCATTGAAGTGGGCGGGGTATTAAAATGTGTATAGGAGGGAATCAGTGGTGAGTTTGTAGTTTCCAATGGGGTATACAGAGATGAATGCAACATACTTGTAGTATTCTGTGCATAAAAAGAAGACATTGACAGGCTGTGGTTGTTATCTGAGGTGTAAACAGGAGACAGAGGATTTGTAGTGTGGTGTGGAGTAAATGTTGGAACTACTTGAGTATCAGTAGCATTCAGTGGTGTAAAATCTGAAGTAAACGGCGTATTTGTGTGGACCATGCTTGTAGTTGACGAACAGAATGGTGAATACCCAACAGTCATGTCTTGGGAGAACGGCGATGGCTCTCTTATATTTGTTGCTGGTGGCATTGTCATACAACAATGTAAACTACTTTCTTGCAAGTGATCTGGATTCACTGTTGTCATCGTACAAACACTTGTCTCCTCCATTTCCATTTTTTCAGTCGGGTCTGGAGCTTTTGGGCTTTTTGCATTCCCCGAGTCTTTATTACCATCAGACCTCTGCTGGTTACTTCTCCTACGTAGCGTCTGTAATGTGTTGTGTACGTAGTTTTTAACATCTGTCCAAGATCTTCCCGCAAGATCTGGCTCAGCAGCTATGCAGGCATTGCAAGCTTTTTTGCCGGGAACCTTCATCCTCGTAATGAATTCGTTCAGGTAGCGTTTGACAGCTATCTGTTCCATCTCACTCCAAGGTCTTCTTTTGATAAGCGGCTTCTGTCGAGGTCCTAAAGAGAAAAACATCAGAAAACATTGAAAAAAGGGAGAAAAACCTTTATTTAGTCATAAAAACAAAATGCTGACAGGTATTATGGGTAAACTCATAAGACTAATAGTTTCTGATGCATTTAGCCATTTTCGTGGATGACTAACTAGAGAGGCTCACCTTTTTCTTGGGATATAAATATAATTTTGTTATGTAAAAAAAACACAAAGTGAGGTATATGGGGCTTATAATTCATGTAATTATTTTTCAGAGATTGAGAGCCTTTAAGAATATTATACAAAAAAGGCACATCAACTTTCCCTCCAAGGTGAGAAGTTTTTGACAATTGTGAATTTGTTTATAAGCAGTGGCATAGGGATGGTTTAGCTTTGTGTATCCCCACAGTCTTTGTGGGGACCCGCTATTGAAAAATATCCCTGTCAACGTCTTTAAAATAGACTTTATTGCCTTTTTTGATTTAAACTTTAATAAATTCCCTGGTTATAAAAAAACAACAACAACCTCAAACACAAAACAGATTCAATTGAGGCTTATTTGGACCCTGATTGTCACCTTACTGACACAAACCTATCCATTAAAATAAATAGATAAATGCATATCAAGAAGGGAAAGAGCAAAAAAATTATACTTACCATCTTTTGTGGTGCTTGGCCGACTCGTTTTATCTGCCTTCAACAGTTGCTTGCCGATTTCCTCCAGCAAGGTTGCATTTTGAGAAAGTCCGTAACATTCTTCGCTGGTTCTTCCCAACAGCTTTGCTACATGGTCAAGTTCTAGTTCACCGAGGCTCATTAGCTGCCAGCAGGTGGCTATCTGTTCTCTTACAGACGAGGACAGTAGTGCTTCTGGGTTTTGAACTCCACACTCCACTGCAGCCCTTCGAAAACAATCCAGTCCTCTAATGAATGAGGGCCCTTCACTCCTTGCAAACAGGTAGGGATTTGTCTTTGAGACACCTGCTTTCTCTCTGTTCTGAATAAGCAAGTCAATTGACGAAACCATTCTGTCTGTCAACAGAACCAGCATGTTCCTTCCATATTGACCTTCAAGTTCCAGTCTTGTAAAACTGGAACTAAGTTCCATCTCAAGTTTTGTGCTTTTTCTAACTTGATCTGCAGAGAGCGTACATGTTCCCCCGCTCGTTCTTTGAGTGTACGTTTTCAGGAGAAGCCTTCCAATATTCCCCACTCTTCCTCTGTTGAAAAGACATACGTTTGCCAACGTGGCTTCACCTAGCTTCTTCCACGTTGACAAGCTGGCATTTTCTTTTAACTCCTTCCTTGCTTCTTCCTCTTCACCAGTAATAAATCTGTGGAGCTTCATCAAATCTTCAATGACTGATGATTTGTCTACATCCACTTTTTTGGGTTCTTGTTTTATCGAGCCGGAAAGTGCTTTGTGAGAAAAACACTTATTCCATTCTGTATCGAGTAGTTCAATGAATTTTTTCAGTTCGCTTTCCTTCTCACTGTCTTCCGCCATTCGACTTTCTCCAAATGCTATTTCTGCTGCACGTTTTAAAGAGTAGCCAATCTTTGAGACGAGGGAAACTGTTTTAAACTTGCTGGAAGCTGGGTTAAAACCACCGACTTTTTTGACTCCTTCAACAGCCAATTCAAACCTAGATGGTAGACATATTTCATGCAGGTACTTCACTGTCTTGTCAAGCTCGTTCACAGCAAGGACAAACCTACCCAGCTCTCTCATCTTTTGTCCAATATAGGCAAACTGAGACTTGTCATGGTCATACTTCGCAGACAGTGTGTTACCGTATTTACAAATAAGTGGGTCTAACTGAATATGCCTTGAAATTTCATCTTGATGCATGATTTGAATGATTTCCTTGCAGCTGCCAGTTAAAAACTCAGACATTGGAAGCATATCTGAGACAGGACTGCACCCTGTTAATCTTTTGGTATTTTCTGCGAACTTCTGGTCTTTTCTAGTGTTACATGTCCTCTCATGTCTCCAAAGATCACTTTTGCGATAAAAGGCAAAGCAATGCTTGCAGGGCAAGAAGTCACGCACAGACGTGGCTGGTTTCTTCGACTGGTTCTTAGTCACAATTTCTTCCTCCCCACTTTTAGTAGCGTCACAATTATTCTCATTTCCTTTTTCACGAATCTGGTCCAGCAAGGTCTGCCTTACCTTGGAACCTTTTGGAAAGTGCATAGCATGGGCAACATCTGGTTCATCAGCATGTTTGTTTTCCAAATGCCTTGCAATTTGAGTAAAATAACATTTGCAATGTACACATAAGTGCTTCTTGTAAGATTCCTTTTTTTCCTTAACCTTGTTGATAGGTTTTGTCTCCAGGACTTTTTTGCGGGTTCTCAGACTCGATCTTGTTGGTAATGTGATCACAGCAGGTTTTCTTCTTCTGAGACATCGCATTTCAATCAACTCATCTGTGTCTGACTTTTGGTGAACTTGATCCAAACCGTCAGGGTTTTCCAACATTGAATCATCCATCTTCTCACCTGGGTCATTTCCTTGGTTAGCAGTTTTGATTTTGTTAGTTTTGTGCTTTTGTTCAGTTCCATCTTTTACCTGCTTTACCATCTCTTCTGTGTGTTTGTTTGTATCTAATTTAACAACGTTCAAAGTCTTTTGGGTTGATAAAGCATCATTCGGCTCAGGTGAGGTCTTCTCCTCCTCTCCTTGAATTTTCTGTCTGACCGATGATAGATTACAAAATCTCCTTGCCGATCCATTTTTTTTGCCCCCAAACCGCATTCTCTTTTTACGCCTCTTCACAGCTACTCTCTTATCGTTTTTTCTAGTTTGGGAGCTGCAAACTTTGTCATTCTGTGGAGCATCAGTTTCTTGAGGGTTATTTCCCTTTGCTGCTGCTGGAATGCCCTCTTTTCTTTTAGTTTCATTAATAGAAGTGAGCCTTTTAGTGCCACAGGAATTTCGCTCTTCATTTAAGTTCCTCTCTCCTTCATATGATCTCGTCTCATCAATTGTACTTGCCTGCAAAAAAAGAGTAAATGTAAGACTTATTGCCAAATCAGAAGTATTTAAAGAGAACCAAAAATATTAATTTGGGGGGGAAGAAGCTAAGATGTTTTATGAATTTTGGCAAAATGATTGTTAATTTTGTTAGTTGTGGTATTTAAATTTTTGTTGCTAATCTTCCAATATTTTTTTTGTTGTTGTAAAACCTCAGCACCTTGGCAATGCCCCATTAAGATACAGGCTCATTCAAACAGAACTCAAGGTGATGGTCGCCTTTTAACCCAACATCTGCATCAACAGCCCAAATCTTTAATACAAAAACCACATGTGACCCATTTAGGAACATTTAATGGCTTTATTGGATCAAGCAAAGTTTTAAACATGAATGTCTAAGCAATTCAAGATGGGGGTGTCAGATGAAATGCTACACAAAATGAACAAAATATGCACTGATGCAAAACCTGCATGCATGCTTTAGAAAAAACAACCCACTAATCTGTAAATACCAGCGTTACAGAATCAACTGGTAACTTTACACAGAGTGTCACTGATGTGGCCATAACGGCTATATCTGTTCAGGAACTGGCACTTTGCCTACAAAACAATGCTTACACTTTAGGAGTGTCTTGCCAGTTACATTTTAGCTATCTCTTATGTAAATTATAGACAATGTGACATGTTTTGAAATATACGCATTATGTACCTGCTTGAACATAGACGATCATGTCCAGGCATTTCCTGTGTTTTCTTCCAATTGCTTGTTTACTGCAAAGAAAGGCAAGATTTATCTGAAATGTGCACATAATTTACAGTTATATGGCATAAAACCAAATTCTAATATTTTGTAGCTTAAAAAACAGGGAGAATAGTTAAAATAATAATTAAATGTCATGTGTATATATATATATATATATATATATATATATATATATATATATATATATACACACACAAGTAGCAATCTGCCGAATATGTTAAAAATATTTTTTAAGCCCTAGATAAGTGTATGGACATAAAAAATTACAAAGTACCTACTACCTTATATATGCCTCAAAAGACAACTTAATATTAAGCAATTAATATCCTTAAAGGGGATTAGAACAATATTACAGTTTTTAATTAGTATGCTCTAAGTATAAACATATTTTGCCAACTTATTTCCATGGCATACATCTCAACTGTTCTAAGCATGCAATCAAATGTAACAAAATGCACAATACATGAAGAAAGGTCCTTCTGAAAAAAAAAGGTGAAAATATTGTCCTACCTGAATCTGTGGCAGAGGCAAGTTGACATGAAGAAATAAAATCTGCTTGTTGGTCTTCAGGGTGTGGTACAGTAAGAAAAATATAACCTCCCTTACAAACTATCTGGCAGAAAGGAGCTAGCTAGGTTGGAGTACGATAAGAAACAAGCGACTACAGTAAACAGCTTCCCTCTACTTCAAATCTGGACTTTTACATCCACACCTTCTGGCTGGTTTTTTAAAATCAAAACTGTTCCAGGAAACTTAGAGGGAAATACAATATTCAGCATTCATGGTCTAAAAGACAGTCAGGCCAACAATGACCCCAACAAATTCCTTTTCAAAGGCATGGGCCAGTATTGGGTCTTGCAGGCCAAAAAAGACCTCAACGACTCCTTATTACAAAGGGGTGGACTGTTTTTTTCCGGTTCAATTTGCATGTTTCTTAATGTCGCTTGGGTCTGGTCGGGAAGCTGTTTTGCTGGTATGCTTCTGTCCTGTCGGTCTGGAATTTCTAGGGACGCACAGCAGTTTCCCGGCAAAGCGCAAGGGGGAGACTATTTAGGAACTCGCGAGAACTTCGGCGGATGGTCACGAGCACTTTGGTTTCGAGGAGACTGTGGCATCTTTATATAATCTACCAAGGGCATTGTATAAGTGGTTGTACTTCGGAACCTCCTCATTTAACCTTTCCTCGTAGTTGTCCATTGTAGTTGTTTCTCGGTTTGTAAAAATGGCGCACCCCGGCACCAAATCGAGAAGGACGACCACACAGACAGCCGGAAAGGCATACCAAGGACCAATCAGAGCTGCTTTTTGTCTGTGCACTTCCGCTTGAGGTCTGCGTGGGTTTGCGAATGCAGAACCTCTGCGTGGGGGGCGTGGTCATGAACAGAGACGGATTTGATGGTTGCAGAGGCAATGCGTCTGAGTATAAATTGGCTTTTAGTCTTAACAAGGCCTTTAATTGGGCCTCCAGACATGCTGAATGGAGAAAGCTTTCTGGAAGGGAAGCGAAACATCTTCAAACTTGGAAAACAAAGTCCAGTGATTTTTTTTTTCTTTGTTGGAACAAAAAAACAAAAAACAAACAAAAAAAGTTTTATTCCAGTGGTTGCAAAACTTTTGATACCCCCCTCCCTTTACAAAAAAATATTAGCACAGCACAATTACCAAAGCCATATACCAACCCAATGTAAAGTCCACTGTAGTGAATTATATTTTCAATAAAATAAATTACAATCTTCTATAAATAAAAAATATGACCTTAAAAAAAACATTTTTATTGTTTATTTTACAGTTGAACAGAATTCAACATTATCAATTATAACACCAATAAAAAGTCGAAATGGTTTAGCTTAATTCTACCTGTTCTGTTCGTAGTTCAGCAAAATGCTTTTTATATAGACCTGGACGAACACTTTAACATCAACTAACTCTATGCTTTAGGAGCCATTTCTATGGGTTTGCCTTCTAGAACTGTTATTTGAGTCAATATTTCATTAACTTTGTTTACTTTTTTTTTAAAGCTTTGACAAGTTGTTTACAGCAGGAGGGTTTATCTTTAGAAATGTATGAAGCAGACAAATTTAAATCATTCAAGCAGAACCTCAATGGGCACACATTCACACGGGGCAACCAAGGTGCAAGAATTCAAATTGTTCAATTAAAAATTTTGGTTTAGAAAAATGTATACATCTTACTAAAACGGAGGATAAATCTAAAATGAATATGTACAGATAACTCCCAACGATGAAAGAGCAGTGATCAATCATTTTAAAGCAGACACCACGTACCTCTTGTTCCAGATTGTAGTCCTCCTTGGAATTTAGTGCTAATTTAACAGCCATGTAATCTCCACTTTTCACAGCATCTCGCAGTTCACCTGGTGGATTAGGAGCAGAACATGGTTTAATGAAATGAAAAGTCACTCAATTAAGTATTAAATAGAAAGGCAAAATGTTTTACTTAGAAATTTATATATATTTTTTTCAAAATACTGAATATTTTAAATGCTTAAACAGATACTTTAAGGTTTGTTATTGTTTTTATACTGTTGCAATGATTTAATCCTAACTATATATGACACTGCTTTTATTAAACTTCTAAAATCTGTTTATTTCCACTAATAACCTTAAATGAATTGTACTCCAACTTGTTTTATGTTATAAATACTCAAGTAGTACATAATGATACCCGGAAATAATGAATGGATTCCAATTGTTCTTAAAGAATAATGTAAATCCATTTATTGTCCCACAAAAAGGAAATTCCCTCCCTGCATTTGACCCATCCCCTTGGGGAGCAGTGGGCTGCCATTGTGTGGCGCCCGGGGAGCAGTGTGGGGTTAAATGTTTTGCTCAAAGACCCAGAGTGGAGGCTGTGGGGATCGGACAGAGTGCTTGCAACCTTCTCAGAGCACAAGCGCACTGCTCTAACCACGAGTCCAACACTCCTGATTAATCTTCAGTTTTCTATTATTGACACATTCTCAAATGGGTTTAGATCCCGACTTTGACTAGGCTCTTTGAACACATGAACTACTTCAGCAGAACACTCCTCCTACCCAGATGCACCACAGAGCGCCACAGGAAATCATTCCTACATGTGGTCATCAATCTTTATAACGCCTCCCTCAAGTGATTTAGACACCCCCTCCCCCTGTAATTGACATTTATGCACTATTTTTGCATGCCACGTATCACTTTACTTGGATTTATCACTTCACTTGGATTTTCACTTTACTTGGATTTAGTTTTTACATATGCATATAGATATACATACATATTTATATATATACAGAAGAGCTATATATGTATATATTTTATCTCTTTATTTGTATCTTTATTATCTTGTGTAGTTGGATGTGTGTATATATTAGGGGTGGACAGTTCACAAAATCCACGGTTCGGTTCGGTTCACGGTGATGTGGTCACGGTTTTCGGTTCGGTATATGTTGATTGTTAGCCTGACATGTTGGTCATGTTACTGTTAGCATAAACAAAACGTGTTGCACAATGCTTGAACACTGTTGCACTTTTATCCACAACTTTCTGTACGCCGTCATCGTAGGTCACTATAAATGCAAAGTGATCCCATACAGCAGACCTATAAAGTGCTGCTGGCGCGTCTTCCAACTTCTGTTCTTTTCCACTCGCCATACCCACACAATTCTCTTTACAACAACTGATTTTTTTCTGCTACACGGCTACGCGGCTTCGCTTCTTCTACTTGTTTACTACTGGTGGTTGGCTTCGGTCGCAGTACCGCCACCTTCTGCTCTGGAGTGTAAACGCTTCACCTATGAGAAAATGGAGCAGCGCATGAACCGAACGAAACACACGCAAATCGAACCGCGACAGCCGAACCGAATGGTTCGGACGGTTTTCATAAACCGTTCCATCCCTAGTATACAGTGGGTCCTGGTTGGAAATGGACACTTCATTCACGCTGCCCGTGTTTCACGAATTGCGTGAAAAACATGAGACTACTATAGCCACTAGGTGGCAGTCTGAGTCCATTTTGGCGTCCCATGAGTCAGGATCAGATAGGTCAAGTAGCAGACTGGGAGGGCTGCTATGTGTTGAGAGCTGATAGCGTATTGGCTAGAGTAAAGGTCTGCAGTGCAAAAGGTTGAGGGTTCGGTCCCAGCTGTGGCTGAGTTTGTTATTGTTGCCTTAAATGTTTCTATTTTTTTTAATCAATTGATGGCCTACGATATCAAAAATTGTACAATAACTTATTTAACTTATTTATATATTTTACGGATACTAGCCTATGCTGTTTGACACGTAACATTTATTTTATGGCGTCTTTCTTTTATTTAGATCAGCTCATGTGCGCTCCTCCTTTCCATGTAATTACTCCCCGCTGCTGCTGGGGGGAATTACATTCGAGAGCAGAGAGAGGAGAAGCGTCGCTGCTGAGTGACGTCATCCCCTCTGCACTGCTGCGCTCGGCTCTCTTGTAAAGAGCGCGAGCTCCCTCTGCTGGGCGCAGAGGGGAGTGGCAGAAAGCCATTTGTGTTAATTTTTTTTCTTTTTTGTGGGGGGCTTTCTGCCCTTGGCAACATGCCTGGCTGCAGAAAAGCTGTGTTTATTTTCTCTAATTCCCCCGGAACAAAACTTTGTGACATGGGGCACAGCTGAGTGCTTGGTGACACTGATAACGTGCTGTGAGTGTTTTGTGACACTGTGTCCTCCACCCCAAAATGTCTTCTCTCTGAACGTGAGAGGGAGAACTTGACATGACTCCTGGTGAACTGGGAACTACAGGAGCATCTGAATCCTGGACAGAGAAGTTTTCCCTGGTGCCTGGAAACCTTCTCTTCAGAGGGGAGATGGTTAACAAACAGTGGGGTTAAGTTGCCCGCTTTTTCTTGCTCTCCCCAGGGTGGGATGGACGATTTTTTGCAGCGGCCGCTGCAAAAGAGTGCTTCCCCCATGGTCTTGGGTTCTCCGCTTTGCTTTGCTGGGCGGTTTGTGTGGCAGGTCTCCTTGAAGGCTTGGCTCCACCTTGCCGTACTCTCACTGCAGCAGCCGCAAACCCAGGTCTGGGTCCCTGTGGGGGGGTTTGGCTGGGCTTACGAGGCAAACAAAGGTTAAAAGCCTCTCCCTCCTGTTTTCTGAGGGTACTCGTCTCCCTGGTCTTCTCCAAGGAGGGGCCAAATAGACCTTTCGTCGGGTCATAGGGGGCATCCATGATCTCGGCCTTCTGGGAATCACTCAGGCCTGACAGGTTTAACCATAGGCCTCTTTCCCCTGAGACAGCCAGACCCATGACCTGACCACAACCTTGAACAGCACCTCTAGAGGAGCGCAAGATGAGATCGTTCACCACACAGATCTCATCCCATAGACTAGGGTTAGGTGTCCCCGAGTCCAGTTGACACCCCATCTCCTCCAAGATTTCACCTTGGTACGCAGACAGCAGTGTAACCGCGTTAAGTGAGCACACTGACTGACCCGCATATCTGTACATCCTTTGGTAAATGGAGGCTGTGAGGCGGTCCATTTTACCTGGGAGCGAGATGAGGATGCTGAAACCGATCTGCGGTTAGGGTGGAGGTGGTAAGCCACTGAAGGCTCTACTGCTGGGGGTTCGGCCAGCCCCAGCTCACCCATGCCCTGTATCTCCAGCTTAGAGAAGCCCTTGGTGGGAAGCTTACTCTTAAATGGGCTGGACCAGAAACGGCTAATTTCTCTCATGCAAGCAGGAACGGCTGGTAAAAGTTGCTTTGCTGGTGGTAAAGCTGGTGGAAGCCTTTTACCGTCGTACAGGTCCCGTTCTGCTCCTTCTGAATCCTGCGCTGCAGGCCAGGGGATGTTCAGCTTTAAAGCCGCCCGTCTGCACACATCGTACAGATCACTATCCCCTGGGGAGGTGACTTCTGCCCCGCTTGGAGGCCTGGAGTGTTGACCCGGGAAGGTGGAGTCCTCCTCCTCTTCCTCCTCCATGTCCTCCAGTTCCAGGAGGTCAGAGTTAGCGTCACCCTGCGTTTCGTCGATGTCTGCATAGAGTTTCCCGGTGTCCATAAGGCCCTCAAACAGAGGAGGCATGGACGGGTACTCCTCCTCCATCAAGTCCGCCCAGCTCTAAGAGGCTAGCGGCGGATGGTTTTCACCCGCCGCCGCAACGGCTGTAGGTGAGGAGAAGCATGGGTCCTGGCTGTCGCTAAGCCACCCTCAGCCGCATCTCCAGGATCTTTTCCGGCATCGACGCGCAGTGCTGGCATCCCTGAGGGTCCGCCAGCGATGCCTGAGCATGTTTAGCGCCCATACATGCAATACACATCGGATGAGGGTCCCGCCCAGAGATAGATGCCTCGCATGACGCTGGGCACGGGCGGGATACAACCTCTTTAGCTTTCGGTTCCGAACCTTTGGCAGAGGTAGGAGCCACAGACATGACCGTAGATAAAACACGGAGCTCGTCGTTACACGTTAGCTCTTGACTGATATTAAGTCCGTTCGCCACAACACGTTAACCGGACTCTTATGCTAGCGATACACTGCTAGCCAAAAACCAAGCCCACCTTTACGTGTTAGCTCGGCTGACACAAACGCTCTCTATTCCGTTAATTAAAACAGAGTAGATACAGGAACAGCTCGCCTTTACGCGGTCACCGCTCCCAGCGTTTGTGTTCCAGAAAGTGCTTCTGCCGAAGCGCTTACCCAGCACGGTACAGGCCTGTCCTGGTCCTGCGTTGAGCGACGTTTTCCTTTACGGAACGCCTGAGAACAGTTAAACAGGTCCAAGCTAGCCTGAGGGCACTGAGGGAGCTTAGCTGTAGTCTTCACACGGCAAGAAAGCGAGAATGAGTTGAGGCGGGTAGGTTGGCCGTGATTTAGTTGGTGGGTGGAGCCACGGACACGGCTCAACCTGTCTGTCTCAGACAGACGTGATGTCATTGGAGCTTCCGTAGTTGGTCACGCCAAGGCGATTCCCATAGTGAAACACCGAGCGAAGTTAGAAAAAGAACCATATTTTTATCTTAGTGTATATATTAGTCTATTTTATTGCATGCCTTATAGCCACAGTGTTTAGATATTTTTATAATTCTATTTACCCTATTCCACATTATGTGTCATCTTGCACGATTGTACCATCAAAAATTCCTAGTTTGTGAACTCCTTCACTGACAATGTCAATAAACCTGATTCTGATTGTGTTTCTGAAAAAACTGCTGTGAAACATTTTGCTAAGGTAATCGTTACTGTGCCCTGCATGGTGACAAACACCAGGCCTGCATTTTAATGAATTCATAAGGCTGTGCCTGATGGAGATGTTAACTACAGTCCTACAATAGCTATATTTCTATATTTAATTGTTATGTAACCATGTGACCAGGCCAATTGTCCCCTTCTGTTCTTTTTTTTTTTTAAG